TGTTCGCTATACATATTTCCCTGCCTTTAGTTGTTAGTTAATCGTATTTATTTGAAGGTAAATCACGGTCAACAACAGTACAATGTCAATTGAAAATCGTAGCAATATAAATACAAGTAATGACCATCGAATCAATATATTATAAATATCTAATATAAACGAAGGTTATTGATACAAAATTACTATGAAAATGATAATATTTGCAAAATTTCACACATGAAGATATCAAAATTAATAACCTTCGAAGGTTATCGATACGAATTTACTATGAAAATGATAATATTCAAAAATTTTGTATATGAAAATATCAAAATCGATAATTTTCGAAGGTTATTAATATAAATTTACTACAAAAATAATAATATTCACAAAATTTTACCATGTAAAAATATTAAAATTGATAACTTTCAAAGGATAACATATCGAAAAACAGTGAAATACTTATGTTAATGTTAACTTTTCGACCAGTGTTTGAAAGTTTTCACTAGAAAAAATTTTCTAATATATTGATACCTTTATCCTTTAATTGATTATCTGCATCCAGCATTTCTTCATCAATAATTTCTTGAGAATGGATATTAAGTTACTTTTCTATCTTCCTAACTATTGACGAAGTGCTGAATTCTAAATTATGTCTAAAATCATTCTAGTTGTGATGGCTTCAATAATAGTCTCAATATTTTTTCCACAGTTGAGAAAGGGATACCTATTTAATTTTGTAAGTAGGAGTTTTTTCTCAATACAGATTCTATGGAATGTGTGACCACAGACTAATGTTGTAAATACTTTATTGGAACTGAAAAAAATCTTCTTATCACATTTTACATAGTTAGATAACTCAATGAATTTCTTATATTTGACTACAATATTATTAAAACTTTTTAGAATATTATATGCGAGATTTTTAAGATTGGTAATTAAAACTTTCTCCATTTTTGACATAATGATCACATAAAACAGAACCATTGACCTTTTTTATATCTTTTATATATATTGCCAGTAATCATTTATTCCAACTCAAATTGACAATTATGTTCAAAATTTATATATCAATTTTGTAAATTCTTTAAGTTCTAGATAATTAATAAGTAGAGTTGAGGTGTATAGGAGGTGACAACTGCATTTGTTAAAGTCAGATGATGCAGCAATTATTAATTTCTTAAAAATATCTTTTCAGGATTTGATATAATGTTTTTATAAATGAGCTACAGATACAAAAAAAAATATTTCCTGCTTTAACTTTTTCAGATTCACTAGAGGTATCAATATCAATTACAGCTCTTAAAGGTTATTATCCGTTAATACATTCATGCACTCCAGGAATTCCATATACTTTAGATATATCATCTATAACTGAAAATTTTTCATACTCACCTTGTTCCACTTAAATAATCAATCTATTGACTAATTCATCTCTTTTATATGCATCAAGCAGACTGATTCTTTCTTTTGCTTTATAATTAGGTAAGAAATAGTTCCATAAATATATATCTTCTAATAATCCTTTATTATTTGACATATCTCTGGCAGGCGAAGAGACAATTTTGTAAATTCTATTTAGTAAATCCATTTGAGTAAATTTATTATCAAATCTTTCTTGCCTTTTAGAATATGTAGAACTCACTTGTTCTGTGGAAGATGTTGTATTAGACACTTGTTTTTTTACTTTAGGAGGTTGGGATATTTGAGGCTTAATAATACTTGTTTCAGTATTTGACTTATAGTTGAAACCATAGTCACTGAAATTTTCTAATCCACTTTCAGATATATTATCACTATAGACATCTGAGTCACTTGAATAGTTATCACTTTCTCCACTCCCATAGTGAATCACTTGTGTGCTGTGTGTATTCATTTTTTTTATTGGTATGTATCAATCTTTGTTCAATTACTTAGGTTATATAAAGATTTTGATTAACTCTTCTTTCACTTTTTTATCAAGAACTATAACAATGATTTTGCCAACAATTTAATATAGAAAAACCATCTTGAGAAATTGGAATTGCTGGCAATTTTGAATTGAGTAAACAAAGTACATATCATTTTTAACATTACTATATATTTAATATAATATGGTATTTACTATTTCTTCTTGAATATTGTTAATGTGAATTACAAAGTATTACTATGTGAGAAGAAATAGGACATGCTGAAGAACAGATATTAGATAACAAACTAAAAAATTGTAAAAAGGAATCAAAGGTTGAAGAAAAGGTAATTTTAGTTAAGAACATATTCATTGATTTCAGATTGATTTTAATATATTAGGATGATACTGATGATCAAAATGAAAAAAGACAATGGCTATCTAGTTAAAAAACAGAATCTTTTACAAATTTTATAAAAGATTTTGAGTCTTATCGATTAGGTGATGGATTAGATACTGAGGAGAATCTCGAAAACAGTGAGGAGAATGAAGAAGATATTCAAGATAATGAGGTAAAGTAATTGTTTAATAAGTGTATTCTTTATATTCAATAGTTAATTGCTTTATTGAGACATTATTCAATATCATTACTAATTTATTAGCAGACACCTTCAGTAGCTCCAAGTACTGCCGAAGTGTTTGTAAGTCTGCAAATTTCATATACAGTATAATGTACAGTTTTGTATATTTAATAATATTTTGTTTCTTTCTTTAGGGATCAAATAAAAAATCATTCCAAGATTTACTTGGTAATGAACTTTAATGTTCAGAAAATATGTAATTAATCAATCAACACCATGATAAATACTATCCTGATAAAGATTTAATCGACTTACAGCCAAACTTAACCTTTATTATACAACTTCCTTCCGAAATCCTGATGAAATATATTAATGAGCTTGATAATAAGGTCGATAACTTAATTCCATCTCACATGCACAAATTTCTGACAGACTTCTTCCAGCAAAATTTAATGGGCATGAGAAGATCGATGATCTGATCTATCCAGATAAAAATGATTTATTAATGAAATCAGTTGTACGAATAATACGTAAAACTTTGCCATCATTGTAAGTAAATTTTATTTTACGCTCACTTGAATAAATGTTATATTTACAGACGTTTGCATAATTTTTATAGCATCATGGCATTCTCAATGGGTTCACAAAATTCTCTACTTAACCTAGCAACATTAGAAAAACCACATCTGAATACTTTCATACATCCTTGTTTACAAGCATATTTATGGTACATATCTTCTATTATTTACAAATAATGACTGAAAATCATAACAATTCTGATCAATATCAACTAGCAAATGCCTCAAAAATTTGCAAAAATTTTCATTAGTATAGTAAAAAATAATGCAAAAAGTAGACAAAATATTTTCTGTTTTTGGTGGACAAAGTTTTCGCCTTCGAATTCATTTACAATTCATGAACTATTGTGGTAATTAATTTATGTCCTTGTTTATTGTAAAATAAATTAATGGGGTTGACAATGCAAATATCTCACGCGATTTCACGGAAATGACGGATTTTATTGTATTTTATGAAAGCATTATAAAGTGGGCAGTAAGTATTCAGTGATTGAATCATCATTTATAACAAATACTTTTATTAATGATCATAATTTAGCTACTAGCCAAAGAAGTCAAAGAAGGATTCGAAGAAACAAAGATTCATATGAGACCTTCAAGACTTTCATACATTACTAGTCTAAAAGTAGCGAATAATATGTAACCAAAGATGCATCTTACAGTTTTATGATTTATTGAATAATAATTGATCTATTTTAGTATGATAAAAACCTTTCATTGTTGTAATTATAACAGTAAATTATATGTAAAAAAAAAAAAAAAAAAAATTCTATACGAAATTGATATTGGCAAAAAAGTCTTTTACGTAGCAGAAAAGAATCTCGAATTTCATTAAAATAAAAAATCACAATCACATTATGTAACACGACATGTAAAAATATGGCAATGTATTTAAGGACATATGATAGATTGACATCATCATAACTGGAATTTATAATATGTTCACTAAAGAACATTTTAGTAAAAAATTTGGAACTTGGTCAAGCGGGAATGTTAACGTTGATAAGATTATCCAAGAATCGCAGATAAATAATCCTGCACTTAATCTACAATGGATACCTTATGAAAATTTTCATGATATCGAACACATAGCTGATAGTGAATATTACACATTGCATTTGGCTAGATTAAGAAATGAAATGATAGATTGTGAAGATGTTTCTTTAAAGGAATTAAAAGATTATAGATATGATATTTTGGAATTTATTAAAGCGGTATGTTCCTTTATTATACTTAAATACCTAAATTATAAACAATTATAAACTTTTTATATTATATTTCAGATTAAGAATATAGCGATTGATAGTTTTTATTCTTCTTGTATCGCTAGATTTTTTGGAATTTCAAAAAATCCTTCTACACAAAATTATATTATTGTTATGGAATCATATAATGATACCATTCATGGTTTTTTATCTGATACCTTTCTAGATATTGAATGGGGGTCAAAAATAGATTTACTATATCAAATAATAGAAAGTCTTGCTATTTTACATGAAAATAATTTAGTTCATTGTGATTTACATAGTAGAAATATTTCAATAAAAAATCGGGAGATATATTCAGTAAGAATAGATCCTGGTTTATGTAAATTAGCTAATGATTTAATTTTAAACTCTGATAACAAAAATAATAATGTTTATGGTTCAATTCCATATATTCCACCGGAGGTATTAAGAGGAAATGAATTTACAAAGGAAGGTGATATTTATAGCTTTGGTGGAATTATGTATGAAATGGCTATTGGAAACAAACCATTTGCTGACCAAGCACATGACACCTATTTGATGATTGATATATGTAATGGTGTAAGATCAAAGGTTCCTGATATGATGTTAAATTTGATTCCAAAATGTTATCTAGACAAAATGTATCAATGCTGGGACGATAATCCTTCTAAACGACCAACTGCTCACGAATTAACTGATATAATATTTTTATGGAACAGTTACTACGTTAATGAAGAATTTTCAGATGCTGATGATAATAGAAAAATAATGAATAAATCTCATGAACAAAAATTATTTCGATCTTTATATAATTTTCATCCTCAGTCCCGTTACATTAGTAGACACATTTATACTCTTTACGAATTGCAAGATTCATTAGAAGATCTAAAATCTGGAAAATGTTCAGGTAAAATTATTTTTGGTATAATTTAAATCATATTATTTAATAATAAATAATTAATCACAAAAAATTTTATATTTATAGATCTTAATTTATATACTTATGATATGAATTCTAATAATTCATAAAAATATATTAATTTGGAAACATAAATTTAAAAAGCAAATCATATATTTCAAATATATTTTAAAAAAAGAATTTATCTTCTTTTTGAGTATAAATTTTATTTATTATTTAATATTTATTTTATTTGAAAATACAAAATTCAATTTTGAGTAATATTTTGTTCGAAATTTTCAGGGATTCATTTTTGTTAATTAAAGATTTTTTATGTAATATAGTTAAATAAAATATTCGAACAAAATTTTCAGATGAACAGATGAATAAAATAAAAAAAAAAAAAATTAATGATATTAGCTTTTTATCAAAATCCAAAATTTAAATTATTCATTTTTTTTTTTGTTTCCAAAATGTATAGTAAACACGACGCGACTGACAAGAAATTTTTCACGTCATGCCAATTGAACCACGGAATTAATTTACCCACAATGCATGACGGATAATTTCATTGACTTTTTTTTTGATATTTCCGCTCAGAGTTGTGGGATAAATAAATAAATATATATATATATTTTTCTTTTTCATGATCAAATAATAATTAAATATCTCTTTAAGAAAGAGAGTTATCCATTAATTCGTCAGACTTTTATATCTCACCTGCTTGACAGTCTTGGAGAAGTAAAATTATGCTTATATTTTGTTGTTTTTTTTTTCTTCAGCATGTATAACATGAATTCAACCAAAATAATATGTAATGAACACTTTCAAATTAAAATTCAAATTTTATTATTTTATTCATTAAAATATTACAAATATAAAATAGATACATGAAAATTTCTTTTTTCTATTTTCTGCTCTTCTATAAATAAAAATTTAAAACACTTACATTATCATTGTTTCCTTATTCGCTCGCGTTAAGAAATCTACGACGCACAGGCGCAGGCCACGAAACAACATAGTCCTATACTTCGCCGATTATTATTGAATAAATAGGAAACGCGCACCTCAATCTTCCGCGACCTTTCAAAATCTTCTTTCTTCTAAACCTACGAATTGACAGTTAGTATAATAAATAGAAACGCGCACCTCAAATCAAAGTATATCGCCTAAGTAAGTGTGGAAATAAAAAAAAAAATAAAGGTTAATATTTTATATATTTTATTCACATTCTTAATAATAATAGTAAACTTGAAATTAGAAAAGCGAAGATACAATGGAGAATCCGTTACGTAATTTTAAATTTATTGTGATAATCTGTAAATCTGATTATATCCGAATTTTTATTATTACAAAAATTATCCTTTATTTTTTTTTCATTATTAGGGCGCGTTTTTTTATTTTTATACTAACTGTCAATTCGTAGGTTTAAAAGAGAAAGGTTGTGGAAAGATACCGGGATTTTGAGGTGCGCGTTTTCTATTTATTCAATGCTAATCGGTAGCTCATAGGACTCTATTTAAAGATTTCTTAACGCGAACAGGAAATCAGAAATTTAAGAGTTTTTAAAATAGAAAAAAAAAAAATAGAAAAAAATAGAAAAAGAAAATTATATATACATACATATATTGTAATATTTTCTTAATGAATAAAATAATAAAATAATGAAATTTGAAAGAAGTATTGAAATTATCTTTATTTTTATTTGACATTATTATTTTGGTTGAGTGTATGCATAATAATATATGCATAGTTTAAATATGTTGAAGCGTGAGTTGTTCTTTGCTGTTAAATTCTTCGAGGTGAATCAATACAGCAGTGAGTGAGATATAAAAAAAACATTTTATCAAATTTAAACATTCACGAAAATGGATGTCATTTTCAATGTGGAATTAATGAAAAAATGTTGACACAAAGATAATTTTCAAATATGTTTTTTAAAGAAAAACTAATTTTTTTTATTTAATTTTTGAAATCTAAAAATAATATTTCTAATTTTACAAAAATTTTACTACATTCTTTATTGATATAAATGATATAAGTGATAATATTACAACAATAACATTAACAACAACATTAAGAATTGTATATTCGACAGAAGAACGCCTTTTTATGTTTGCCTTGACAAACTTTCCACAGACCAATTCTCAAAACTTCCAGGGATATTTCAAATCTCCTCATTAACATATAGACTATCAAAGTAATTAATATTATTAATATTAAAAATATGAATCGATAAATGAAACGTTTCCAATCTTGATTTGCAAAAAATCTTATAAATTTACTCGTTCTATTTTTATTCACTTTACATCCAGGTTTCTTGATAATCTGAAATACTTCGTAATCATCAATATTGTATTTATAAAATTTATCGTATTTAGCAGATTTTGTGTATGGAAAGAATTTTGATGCATCAGGATAAGAGGTGGAATTTTGACTATTATATATTGATCCCGAGTCTTTGATTATTAAATCACCTGAATATCCCCATCCTGGTCCACATTTATGATTATAATAGATTGCATGTTTTTGTTGATGTACTCGAGCAATTTTATAATCTTTGTTATGAAATGAAAATAAGAAACTATCTTTAGTTACCCACCAACTTTCATAATTATCATTATTTATATTATCACTAGAAGAAGAATATGATGATGATGATGATGACTGTGATGATAATGATAATGAAATGTCCGAATTTTCATGAATAACGGGACGTGATGACCAAAACAAGGGATTATATCCACCAATTAATTGATTTGAAGATGAAAGTTTTGTCACCATAATTGTTGCCCCTTTATTGTCACATAATCTATGAAATGATGAAGGATCGAAGCCATCTCTACTAGCTCTTAATAATAATTTAAAATTATATGGATTATTATTCTTATCATAAGGAATATTTTCGTAATCAATCCAACTAGATAATATTCCAATATGATGTTGCTCAAGTAATATTGAATCAATATAAGGTCCCTTTCGTGGAGGGACAACTAATGCACTTGGTCGATAACCGGAATCTAAATAAAAACTTAAAACTTGTTCGTAAAGTGTTCCAGGTAATAATCTCCCGAATGGATGTATTAAATGTAGAAAGTCACTTGGCGAGATATAAGCCCATCGAATATAAGGAATTAAATCTTTCATTGTTTCTTTTAATACAATAAATTCTTGATCTGATAAATGATGTAACTCATTTAACGTTACATTTAATGAATTCTGTGAAAGTGACCATTTGAGAATGTTCATCCAAATTTCAATCTCTTCCATTACGAGATCATCGCGTCGTAAAATATGTGAGAGAAGAGTTTTGTTAAATCGTAAATAATCGGATGAGCCAAAAATTATTTGAGGATTTTCGCAAATTTCTTGTAGGCAAAACTCCCTTAAAGATTTACATGAATCATATAAGAAAACGGTTTGGAAGAATCGAATTGGGTCCGATGATAAAAATTCAGATTGATGGTCGATTAAATATTGTTTTATTACGGTCACTACTTTTTGAAGGAACAATTCTTCGGAAGCCACAAGAATTTTTATGATTTCGGTACCACTTTTTTGATCTAAGTCAATGACACCAGTGTATATATATCTAATAATTATAATAATAAGTTTAATGAAATTAATGAAATAATAATCAAAATTTTAAAAAGAAATAATTATAAAAAAAAAAAAAAATAATAAAAATAATAAAAATATTTAGATAAAAATGTTTTACTTTAATATCTCTTTAAATGTTTCTGGAGAGATATTTGTCTTCTTGAATATGAAAACATCACCAGATTTTCGTGTCCACTTGCTTGAAAGTACCGACCGAAAATATGGACATCTGGCTGCTAAAATTACAGAGTGAACGCGAAATTTTTTCGCGTTAATATCGTCCCCAATTTGTACTTCTACATCGTAGTTGGCTCCCGTTTCTAGCAATTCTCCCATGTTTTCTGAGAGTTCGTTGAAAAATTGGTGGGAAGATGACATAATAAATAAACAAACAATCAGTTTATTTATAAAGAAGCATAGTAAATCAAATTGTAATATTAATAATTTTTATTTAGGAAGAAAGATCTCAACTACGTTACAACGAAAATTATCAATTGGGAAGAAAACGATTGAACGCCTTAAAAGGTAAATAAAATATACTTTGTCAAATCATGTCACATGATTAATGTGTCATCGAATTCTGATAATCTTATTTAAACCAAGACGCGTAATTTCTTAACAGTTAATTTCTTAATTTCTTTAAAATCAAATTGTATTTTATAATAAAAAGGATGATAGCAAGTTCCCAAAAGAAACTGAAACATGGACAATTTAAGAAGCTTGGAGTAGCTTTTGGGTATATTCTTAACTTTTATAAATATCCGCCTCTCGAGGATATCACAGTTGAAGAGTTTGAGACTTTTGCTTTGGATAGGTTACAAGGTTAATAATACAAAAAAATATTTTTATAATAAAGTTATTTATTCCATTTATTTTCATTTATTCTATTTATTACGTTTCAAGGGCTTTATTAGATCTTTTAAATATTTAAACTGACTTTATTCCTTTTGATAGTATTAAAAGCTATTGAGGGTGCAATACTAAGAAATAAAACAGAGGAACAAATTCATAGCCACATAAAACAAATATCTGACGAATTTCTTCCTTTACGTTCGAATGACGGCAAGCAACGCTATGATTTACAAGCCGAAAGAAGAAAAGATCATATTTCACATTTTATATTGAGACTGGCATATTGTCGAAAGTATGAATAAAATAAATTAATGCATATAGGAAAATAATTAATATATATGAGAAATTAATTAATTCATGTACATTAATTAATACTTATTATTTTAATAATAGTGAAGAATTGAGACAATGGTTCTTGAAATATGAGTGCATTTTATTCAAGTAAAGTTTATTATTATAATATTATGATATAATTTTTATTCAAAATAAATAATAGAAGTTTATGAGATTTATTTGATTTATTTTTTTATTTATTGTCTTTTCCATTTATTTTCTTTGTCTTTATAATTTTTTTGATAATAAAATAGGAGTCGATTCATAAATGAAAAAATTGAAGATAGAGATGCATTTTTAAGAGATGAAAATATTATGTGGCCTCAAGTGAGTTAATTTATCTTTAAAGTGAAATCCATAATATTATTATTATTGTTTAGGTACAATAATATTAAATGCAACATATTAACTCTATGTTTATTTAAATACTAAACAGTTATCTACAACTGAGAAAGAATCTATGAAAGATGAATTAAATTTGACTCATGATTTTTTAAAGGATCCAATTTTTGTGGTTTGTAAGAATTCATATTAATTCACATTAATTCATCTTTTCATATTAATTTTTATTGATTGTTGTTTACTTTAACGAAATAGGTTGAATTTGAAAATGCTCTGGAATTAGTCTCACGACGCGCAGTATATTTAAAAGATGGCAAAGCATACGTCCCTGCACATGAACAAATTACTCTTGTCTTAAGTGAATTTCGTAAGAGACTCGAAGAAGCACTTTTGGTATATTGACAGAGTTATTTTTTCTTAGAAATTGATTATAAAAATTTTATAAATTTTATTTAACATTTGATAATTGACAATTGATAATAATATTCTTCTTCTTCTTTTAGTTAACTAGCAAGGCATTTCCTAAATTAGATGATGAACGTATATTGCCCCTCCTGAATAATATAAATAAACAATACCTTGGTAAAAATTTTACAGGTAAAAATGTTATAGAAGGAAAGATAACAGCTGACGATGTAGACGAGGTAAATTATATATATATATATATCTATCTATATATTTATATGTTATATGATTAAAATTAATTTTGAATTTTGAATTAGCTTGTAGGACATTTCCCATTGTGCATGCAAAATCTGCACAAGAATCTTCGAATAAATAAACATTTAAAACATTTTGGCAGGAGACAATATAGTCTATTTCTTAAGGTTTTTTTTTTTTTTATATCTCTATATTTCGACTTTATTTCAAATATTTAATCGAATATATAATCATTTTAGAAATACATTGTTGTTTTTAATATTGTTTATAAAATAGGGAATTGGTCTTACAATTGAAGAAGCCTTGATATTTTGGAGAAAATCTTTTTCTATGATCGATGATTCAAAGTTCCAAAGAGAATACGCCTACAATATCAGACATAATTATGGAATAGAAGGAAGGCGTAAAGATTATGCTCCATTAGGGTAAATATTGATTTAATTCTCTATATATTATATATTATTATATATTATTATTATTATATATTATTATTATTATTATTATTATGTATTAATTCTCTATTTATTTTTTTTTTTATTTTTATTTAATTGATGAACTTCAAAGATGTATGAGTATAATTTCGAATAATCAGCCAGGTCCGAGTGAAAATCACGGTTGTCCATTTAGGCACTTTTCAGAAGAAAACTTGAAAGCCACCTTAATTGATAATGGAATAAGGAACACTGATCAAATTAATAATATTATAACATTGGTGAGAGATCAACATTATCAAATTGCTTGTACCAGATTCTACGAAATGACCAGAAACCTTGAAGATTTAAATGAAGATAAACCTGTAGTGGAAACAATTCAACATCCAAATCAATATTACGAAGAAAGCATTAAACTTGCTAAATCGAAAAAAAAAAGTGATAATAATAATAACAAATAATAATAATAATAATAATAATAATAATAAATATATGTATATATTCTGTATAATTTCAAATTGAGTTAAGATTTGCTATCTGTCTCACAAGTAATTTTAACGTTGCATAAGTATAACATATAATTATTACATAAGTAAACATGGCGCCACATGTAAATTCAGGTTAAACCCCGTTTTATCATTACGAAATCTCTCAAACATGCAAATATGCAACATAACAAAAAATGTATTAATGGGATATTAATGTCATGGAATTATTAATACTTTGTTGTGGTTCTGAAATTTTGTCTTCCTAACATTTAATATTAGCATAACTGCGAACTCTAATACCTGTCGTCGTATTTCTGCCATATCGTTTTCTTATATTGATCTATATATCATTAAAATTATTTAATAAATTTTAAATAAAATAAATAAAAATGGTGAACTTTGTTTACAAAAAATCATTTGATAAAATTACAGGCAAATGCATCCCAGAAATCAGAATTAGCATGTATTTATTTATAGAGGATAATTTTGTAAGTGTTATTGGTGGATGGGATTTAAAGAGGTACATTTATAAAGAGTTGAATGTATATGATTAAAGTCAAGTTTTTATCATAATATGTTAAACGATATGCACCTCTAGTAAACTTTTAGCTAAGAACATTTCACTCAGTAATACAATTTTACTTTCTTCATTGGAAATTAATAAAGTTAATAAAATAACTTATAAGATGATATATTAAAAAGACTTGAGTATTATTTTTCTTGTTACTCCAGGATGGATGAACTTTACATTATTGTTAAAGTAATAAAAGTTACTATTAATTACATAACAAAAATTGAAAAATGTTTAAAAATTGGTAAAGTTGAAAGAATCCTTTGACACCCATATTTGATTTTATTAATTACTTTTACCTGAATATTACAAGATTTTTATTAAAAAAGAAGAGCAATCCTTTAAAAAATTAAAGGAGGGAAAATGAATAGAATGAGTGATTGATGCTATTGATAAAAAGATTTCAAGGTTAAGATTTTAACAAATTAATAAAGAAATTTACAATAACCTTCTTAACAAAGAACTTGTTGAAAAAAGGAGAATTTCCCATCATTTGCTTTAAAAAATTGAAAAAAAATTAAATTAAATCTTGTAAAAAAGCTTTATTACCAGTTTTTGATCCTCAACAAAACAGTTATTTAATAAGGAAATAGACTATCGAATTATTTAAGGTCTATTAACAATTTTAACCCCCCTGTAATTCCCTTGTGGCATAGTTATGTTCATTTTGTCTGTTCAAAGCATTTATTATTGTATTTGGTTTTAATTAATTACTTAAAATAAATTTTATTTTGGTCATATAAAGCTGTGTAAAATGAACATTGTTTTCAGAAATTGCGTAAGGGGTCGTCTGATCATTGTGTTCGATTTGACCATAGTTAAACTAATTTGGAAACAAAGATACAATTTATCCGGTGGGAAAAACCTATTCCTTTCCACTCTTGTTAATTTTCTCGTAATTTTTCCTCAAAGTATTCAATAAAATTTTTTACTTATTATTTTGACTAACAGTGACGTGTCAAAAAGTATAATAACTAAATTTTTCATTTTTTCAGAAATTTATTTTTCTATATATATAGTATATCATTAAACCATATTATTAAACTTATTATTCTCGTTCAAAGCGTGCGTTATTTTTATTATTATTTTTTACGTGTAAATATTTGAATTATCTGAATTCAGAACTTGATTTCAATGGATAAAAGACTTTCTCTAATTGAACTTCTTGAAGATTTTTCAAGTTCTCAAAATGATACCGGTCAGACGCGAAAAATCTTAATAGAACGGTGTACCAATGCTTCAAAAATTGAACTAGAGGAATTTACCAACGATTTATCGGGGCTTCTGTGCAACTCTCCCGATGACTACCTATCATTTTTTCAATATCTCTATGATGATTCTACACGTCATAACAAATGGCTTCCCAATTTCGCATCAATGTTAATCAATAATGCAATAGTACCGAACTTGAAACATTCAGATATTCATAGCTTTGGATTAATCCTTTACTATTGTATCGAATTCCTCTGGCGCGTTCGAAATGACAACTCAAATTTAGCTTCTCAAACATTAAAACGCGTCATCCACGCAATAATTAGCGAGGATGGTGTCTTGGGAATTTTAATATCAGGTGCCCCTGGTCGCCGTTGTTTCAAGCGCGTTCTATTCGACTTCGAATTATCTAATCAGATTGAAAGAGATGAATTGATTAAAGCGGTAGATATCATCATGACTCTTGTGGAAAAATGTTATGATCATAAAGATATTTCACCTCGGCTTTCAGAAGTATTTCCCATATACAAAGCCTGCACAGCATTATTGAAAACTTTAAGAACCCAACATACAGAACTGATCACCAAAAAAGACATATTACCACCTACTCTGCAAAACATGGTTAAACTTGAAAACAAGGAATACAGAACTAAACATGGAAACGATAAACATAAAGCAACAGCTAGCAACTCTAATATAAACTTAGCCTTATCTACTCAAGATGAAAAACACCTCACTCTTTTGAAGATAAAATTCCCTCAAAAGCTATCAAATTTATCTAACTTTTTGCGAGAAATAGAACAACGGAAAATAAATCTATTTCAGGTAAGCTTGATTTTTTTTTTTTTTTTTTACTTCAAATACATGTGTACACACACAAATACATACACAAATACATACACAATGAATGTTTTTTCAATTCATTTAGGATTTGATGGAATTCATGCCATGTACCAGTTGTCACAATAGAGCCCTCTCTAATCTTTATCCTGATAAATATTTTTGGCTCATGGAACAAGAGATGGTTGAGGAGGATAGCGGAAAGGCATCAGAACGACTTTTATGTCTTCCATTCGAATTTAATGAAGATGAGCTTGGACCATGGGATATTCTACTAAGTGAAGATGCAATTAAAGACATGCGGATATTGGATATTGAAACAACTGATGCAATTATGAAGAAACTCTGGTATATATCTTCAGGCAAATGGGAAAAGTTCGACTTAATACGCAAGGTGTCATCATCCCATGATATTCCTGTTTATGAAGTTGAAGTTTCAATTCCAGACAATAATAATGGTCCGAGGATCATATGGCAAATTGATTATGGGTTTTCTGTTCGCAGACATTCGCTCTTTCAACATATAAAGATTTGGGCTATCACTGCTAACCAACAACAAATCAACTCGATAATAGAAAAACTTGAGATAGTTCATCAAGTTTATAATACTGAATTTAAGAATCAGTGTAAATTACAACAATCAAGTAAAATTGGAGTTTTTTTACCAATGTGCTTTGGAGATGTGCAGGGAACAAAGTCCATCGATGACGATCCAGAGATGGATGATGAGAAACTACTAGAAGTTCATAAGATACTTATTACTAATAAGTTTTTTCCTTTATCAAAGGTAAAGAATTCATGTAACATGATCAATCAACATTATAATTAATATAAGAGATTGGAACATACTTTGACATATCTCTCCTTTAAAAATAATTCAGGATTTGATCAGGTCACTCGTATTGGATGGCTCCGACTTCACTTTTCAGGTTTCCAAAACTGAGTACGAGATCATCAACAGTCCTACTTCAGCTATTATCATTGGTCGATCAGGTCAGTGTTCTGATTTCAGTTATTATAAATAAGGAATAACTGATAAAACTAATATAATTCCTTTATTCATAATATATATAGGGACCGGAAAGACAACAAGCATCGTGTTTAGACAGATCGCTTCATACCTAATAAATCAACTCAGTAAAACGCCGTCTTTAAATGGTCACAGCAAGAATTTCAACAAAAGGCAAATATTCATTACAGTTAGTGACAATCTATGCGACCGAGTAAAGGAATACTTTTATAAATTGCTAAAAGCAGCTGAACTTGCTAGAAAAAAGATATCGGCTGATGAATCTAATGAACAAGTGAAAAAAGGAGAAGAATTTGTGATTAAAAAGTGTGCAGAAATTCCTGATTCATTCCATCAATTGAATGACGACCATTTCCCATTATTTATTACCTATGACAAGTTTTCTAAAATGCTTCAGGGGACTTATGGAATTGATGCTCAAAAATTTATACAAAAAAAGCATGATGCGGAAGACGATGATATAAATAAGAGTGAAGATGAGGAATTCCGCCATAGATCCTCTTTATTAAACTTACCTAATGCATCTAGTGCATCTTGGTATCACTTTGTTGATTATGATCTTTTCCAAACAAAATATTGGCCTCATTTTAGTGATCAACATAGGAAGAAACTGGATTGCGAGCTAGTTTATTCCGAATTCTCTGTTATCAAGGTATATAACCATATAAATACTTCCTCAAATGATTTTTGCATGAGAAAGATCACCAATCGGCAGATTCTTAAAATAATTTTTTCTTGAAATTCTTTATTTTACTTATTTTCAAAAAAAAAATCCTGAAGGGAACGGATCCCGATGTAAATTTTTTATCAAGGGAGGATTATCGAATTATCAGCACAAGAAAATATCCATTATTCCGTTACAATCGTGATGAAATTTACGATTTATTTGAACGTTATGAAAAAATGAAAGCCAAAAATGATGATTATGACTCAACGGATAGGTAGGATTGAATAATCCAAAAAAAAAAAAAAAAAAAATTGATTTTTTTTTTTAATAGAATTTCATATATTTTAAATTCTATGTAGAACGCAGGCAATCTTTCGTTACATTAAAACGAAATCACTTTTTGAGCCACATATTCATGAAGTGTATATTGATGAATGTCAGGACAACAAAATCGTGGATTTGGCACTTATATTGAAACTATTTGACCGAGCTGATAAAATTTTTATGGCCGGAGATATTGCGCAATGTATTGCCCAGGGATCCTCTTTCCGATTCCAAGGTATGAATCTTCTTTCAATAATGCCTTACCATAAACTCGCCTAATTTTTCCTAATTTTTATTGACCCACAAATAGACTTACGCGCATTGATATATAAATGGGAAAAAAATCGGATCCAAACTATTTGTAATCCACTTAAACCAAAACAGTTCGAGCTAGATACTAACTACCGTTCTCACAATGGAATTCTTCGACTTGCTGCATCGGTAATTGATCTCATTTTGCAATTTTTCCCAGATTCCATTGACAAGTTGAAGCGTGAACGTGGTGAAATTGGTGGTCCGCGTCCTATAATATTTGAGGGATTTCAGAGCGAAAGCTTCCTTTTTGATGTCTTCTCTGTGGGTGAATCCACGCCCGAAGGTATTGAATTTGGTGCAGATCAGGCTATTATAGTACGTAATAAAAAAACTCAAGATCGTCTGAAGAATTATGGAATGGTTTTGACGGTTTTCGAAGCGAAGGGCATGGAGTTTAATGATGTGCTGTTATATAATTTCTTTTCTGATTCAGATGCAGGTCTAAAGGTATGATTCTACTATCCCACTTTGTGTTGAGATCAGTTAATAAAAATTATCTTCTATATAAATTGTATTTAGTGGCGAGTAGTTCTCAGTGCTTTGAGTGATTATTCCAAAGGGATACAAACTTTCTCTCATGAAAAACATTACATCCTTTGTTCTGAGCTCAAGAATCTTTATGTCGCAGTAACCAGGGCTCGCCAGCGTCTCTGGATTTTTGATGAAAATGCTGAATACGGTGAATCTATGAAAAAGTACTGGGTGGATCAGAAACTGGTTCAAGTGATTCGAAAAATGATACGAAGTGGAGAAGAAGTTGGCGCTTTCTCTTCTTTGGCTAAGAAAAGTAGTCCACAAGAGTGGGATCTACAAGGTGAAAAATTTTTAGCACGGCGGCAATATGAACTGGTAAAATCAATTTTAAAAATATCTACTTAATTCATATTATAAACAAGGCTAACTTAATCATTTTCAGGCCATCTTCTGCTTCACGAAAAGTGGAAATGAAGATCGCCGCAGACTAGCCCATGCGTACAATCTTCAGAAGATTGCCAGGGAATCTTTTATTAAATCAGATGTCAATAATATAAAGCCTAATTTCATTTCTGCCGCCAAGGCCTTTATAGATTGTTCCAAACCAACTGAGGCGGCTTTATGTTATAAGGTATCATCTTAATTATATTATGTGAACATTTACAATATTTTTAATATCAAATAAATATTTTAAATTTCCAAAATTTCTAGGATATTGATATGTTTAAAGAAGCTGGTGATGTTTGCGCTAGATGGGAAATGTATGAGCCTGCTGCACGTTATTATACAGATGCCAAAATGTGGCTTGAAGCGGGAGATAATTTTGCAAAAGCAAAGAAGTGTAATGAAGCTGTTGTAGCCTATAAAAATGGTAGCTTATACTCAATCCTAATTGACTTTATGCTAAGGTAAGCCGTGATAGTAGTTGATTATGTTATCAAAGCATTTGTAATCTAACGTTCAACTAAATTATTGTAACAAGCCACAGGGACGAAATTGACGGAAAGATATTCCGCCGTATTAGTCGTCTTGTCAACATCCATTATCGCAAAAAGAACGATAAGGAAATGAGTGAGAAAGCTCTTTCTCTTCTATTAGAAGAGGAACGAATTGAGTTTCTGAAAGATCATGCACCCAAAGAGCTTCTGGAGTTCTATACGAATGAGGGTCAACATCATGACGCTGCCGAATACTATCGCGAACGCGGAAAATTCAAGGAGGCTGCCGACATGTTAAGCAAAGATCTTAGTAAAGAAGAGAGCATTATTGAATCATTAAAGTGCCATTTGCATCTTTGTAAAGTAAATGTACTAGTAGATACGATGAACAACAAAGATGCCCTAGAAGAATTATTTAATTTACTTTCCAATGCGCTTAATAACGTTGCGAAAGTCAAATTACAACCTTTAAGGAAATCACTGACGGAAGATTTCCAGTTATATAAAGCCTATTTTATGAAGGACCTAAAAAGTGTTCAAAAAGATCTATTAATTTTCCAGGAGCGTAATGATACCGTTAACGAGTTTCGGGCATTAAACATATGGTTGAAGATTTCGCCGCAATCCGGTATTGAGTGTTGGCATGAACGATTGCAACATATAATGAGGCTTTGCAGATTATCCTATAATTTTATAGACCCACGTAAAAATGTTCACAACAAAGAGGAAATCAACAAAGAAGAAATAAACAAAATCTTTGAAGAAGTTTTTTTCGTTGAAAAAGTACAAGATCGTCCAGATAAACGGAAAATTTCTTCTGATAATCCACTTATTTATCATATAAATGAAATGCGTGACAAAAACAAAATAGACTATTTAGAAGATTGGCAGGTTTTTAACGTGGATGATGTGCACAGGGCAATTTCGAAGTTTCTTGCTTCATATATTTATGAGCTTATCTCTAAGGTCGATCAAGAGGGTAGAAAGATTCCAGAAATATCTTCTGAAATTTGCTACGAGTATATTAATGCTAACTGTAAATGGCAGAGTTGCCGAAATCATCATGTGGATCCCAAACCTTTAATTCTTCAGAACCGTGTTAAGCTTGCATGTCTTCAGTACTCTGTAATGCGACAATTAGATACAATATACCATCGTCGTTTACTTACTGATGAAAATAGTAAATTAGTTCTGGGTAAACAAAGGTTTTGGGCTGAAAGACTGCTAACCGATCATTTTCGTTATCAATCCCCACAATCAAGTTGTCTAGAAATCACTTATGCAGCAATCAAAAAACTTCCTAAACACACATATAGTGGGCTTGTTAAAGTTTTGTTGCATAAAGATCTCAATCTCTCTGACTTTGCACAAATATTAAAACGCATATTCGTTTTATTTCAATTGCGGTGTTCATGGGGAATTGATAAGTTTCACTGGGAAACATCATTTATTACTTATAATTCAGAACCTGGTTTTGTATACAATTACACTGGCGGATATTATGAATCAGTCGCAAGGCGACTTGCTTTATTCGTAGAAGCTCTCCGCATCAACCGAGTGATTACGGCGATAAGACACTTAAAGAAATTCATTTATCATTCTTTAGATTATTCCGAAGAAGTTAACATAATTAAATATGAATCTTTTAGTGATCTTACATCTCTTTTGGAATTCACAACGTTTCTGATTTTAGCCGCTCGTCCTGGACCTTGCGATTTTTTCATTCCTCAAAGTTATTTGGTTAACTATTACGATTCATTCAACTTGAATCCATACCTTATATGTCTAAACAGCGAAAATAAATACAAAAGAATAACCTATGACAAAGCAATTAAGGGTTTATACTATCAAGCTAAAAAGGTTCTCTATATTATTACGAAGGATTTCAGGAAAAAGTATTACACAACAATTATCCTTCGGTTGATACGACTCCTGACTCTTATCTGCCTTAATGAATCCACGTTTACATCATATATACTAAATCTTTTTAAAAGTTTAAGAAACCAAATTCGCATTGAGAAATGTAATAAATATCTATTAGTAACTAATCGAGGACAGCTTGTAGATATTCTAAATAATGACCTTAAAGAGAATGGCTATGATTCTTTAGTTATAGTTTACCACAACTGGGGAGGAATGTATAAGTCTAGATTTTCTTCTTGGATGAAATCTGAGATCACGATGATTTCATATTACGATATTGATGACTTTCGTTCTTCTCTCCAGAGAATTACTTCCGAAGAAAATGTAGAACCAAACGCCCCAAACGATCAAATTTTATTTCAACCAGTTGATGACAATGAACAAAATCTTGCTCCAATGACCACTACCATTGTTGTTGATGATGTTGTTGATGGTGGTGATGGTGGTGATGATGGTGATGATGATAATAATGATAACGATGATGATGATGATGATGATTATGATGAACAGATTGAATCTCAAGATACGACCATAGCCTGGTTCCGAGAGATTCTCAATTCTCCCTGGGCCCCAGAAGCAGCAAGTAAAATCCAAATCTGGTTCCGTCGGATTGAAAAGAAGTCTCGTCAATCTCATCCTGATCCTACCCTAGATTTTGTCTATAAAGAAGTAAAATTATTCTGTCAAAACACAATGAATGAGGAAGAAAACAAAACAGTACACAAATATAACATGCTCTTAATGGGTTCAACAGTAGATACCATTGTGGAACTGCTTAAATTGAAAGACAAAATGGACAAAACTAAGAAAAGATTGAAAAAAATAATTGATAGTTCTTCTGATGACCAAAAGATCGAATCTTGTATTGAGCTTGACGATGAACTAAAGTAATTGAAATTCATTTGACATTTTTTATATAGTGATTTCTTTTTCATCATCTGAGCTCATTTATATTATTTTTTTTTAGGTTCATCCATAATGAAAATGTTAAATCATCATTGGAATTATTATCAATAAATGAGAACTCGGAGCAACATAAAAAAGCAAATATTGAATGGTTAGAATATGAATTACAGCAAGCAGAGGAATTTATTGATTCGGTTTGGGACTGGATAGAAAAATGTAAAAAATTCTGAGTGTGGTTAATTAGATTTTTTTTATTTTTTATAAGAACGATTATGCATGTATATATATGATTTTATGTATAATTAGTTCTTAACCAATTTGAAATAAAAAAAAATATTTTAACCACAATAAATAATATGTAATTTTAGAAAATATGCTTTCGATAATATAATATCTAAATAATACTAATATAAATGACTCTAAAAATTTTATTGTTTTTTTTTTTTTTTTGATCAAAATTCTCAATTTCAGACTAATTGAAAATTACATTTCGTGAACATTATTTTAAGTAATAAAATTCACTCAGCTCATTTACAAAAAATATTGTCAAATCCCAAGAAGGTAACTCGGAACAATAAAAGTGAAAATATGCTATGAAGAAAATATGTTATACAAGAACCAAAACGGAGGTCTCGAAAGACAAATTAAAGAACAAATTTACAAAGGAAATGTCTGAGGTCGTTGTTATGCACGAAAACGGATGGATTTGAACTTGTTTGAATTCATCTTCAAGAAGACTAACACAAAAATTATGATTCTCGGTAGTGTTGAATAACAAGTCTCAAGAAGAAAATTTGTATATGATCCCCTTACAGTCTATCAACATAAAAAATGATACAAGACGAAACAAAATCTTTTTGATGAAATACACAAGAAATTCACTAAGTAGATTATTGAACAATACAGCAAAAGCAATGCCTTGATGGTTTCAAACAACATTTTATCAAGACAAGAGAATACCCACGGTGTAAAGATGTAATCTGTGATGAACATTACACTTCAAAAACCTGTACACATTCATCAAAAATTGGGATCAAACAAAACTTTCAAATACTCTCAGTTCCAAATAGAGACATTAATGCAGCAAGAAATATCTTTCTTCAATCAAATCGAACCCTTCCATCTATGATAGATGGGAGATTAATTTTGATCAAGTTTAATTGAGAGCTGAGTGAAAATGCAAATTATAAATATTTATAAAATATGTATACTCTCTTCCATATATCACATAAATTTATTACATCTGATTTTTTATGAAACTATTGAAAGAGAAAATTGTAACCGTTAATAAAACCCGCGAAAATAATAACAAAAAATGTTAAAACAGCTCCAACTCGTCTCCACATAGATAGTGCCAATTTATCATCATCATTATTAAACGCTATATCTGCATGAGCAATTCGAGCAAATAAAAAAATAGAACAAACAACATGTAACCAAAATGATGAGAGATAATTATTTACTTCTATAAAGAATAATAATAATAATGTGAATGGAACATATTCTGCGAAATTTGCATGAGCTCTGACAACACGTTGAACGTGACGATACGTAGAATAATCAATAGTTCTTCGGGCATAAGGATGTTTTTGTGCTTTAGTTTCATCAGGTTGTTCTTTTGAACGTTCTTGATCGACGAAACTGAGAAATTCGAGAACCCTACAAGTATATATGTATGGATTACAAAAAAATGAAAATAAAAAGACAAAAATAAAATAAATAAAAAAAAAAGGTAACTTACCCATCACCAAGAGATATTTTATTTTTAATTCTGTTCTTTATAACACGCACTGATAAAAGTACATAATAGAATGCAAAAAAACTTGCGTAGAAAGGAATAATGATCGATGATTGCGCCATAATAAAGAAAAATTGAAATTCACAGCTTACATATATGCTGTAAATCAAAATACAATAGTCTGGAATTCGGGAATTTTAATTTTTCCAGCCAATAAATAATTAATATAATTGGTTTAATTGTTTTCCCTTGCTTATAAATATTTAAAAATATTAAAATTACTTAATTTCTATTTATATTACACACTCCAGAAAATAATAACTATAAAAATATGTAGGTTTAAAAAATTGATTTTTTCAGCACACAAGAAACTATTATTTTTTTGAAAAATTTACCAGACTTTACAAAAAAAAAAAAGATACTAAAATTTTATATTTATCTATATACGCCATCCAGATTCCAGCATATAGTAAAATATATATAAATTTGCACCTATTTTATATATATAAATAGTGTCGTTCTTAGGCGGACCAGCAATTAAATATATTAAAATTAATAAAATTATTAAAATTAATTAAAAATATTTGTTCATGAAAAAAATAAGCAATTACCAAAAGATTTATATATAATGCCGTCGGGCGGAATTGAACCACCGACCTTCAGTTTACAAGACTGACGCTCTACCACTAAGCTACGACGGCATTTCACATGATACGCTTTTAAGCGTATTCTTTTATAAGGAATTCTTAAAGAAAATTTATCTTTATTTGTCTCTTTTTCTGTTTTATAAATCGCGTGATTGTGAGATTACTTGAATTCTCTTCTTTTTTAATTACAAATGACGACAAATACACAAGAAACACTTTATAAAAATTGTACCATTGATCTTGGTCTTTATCTAAAAGACAAAAATGATTTATTGGCAATTAAAGAATGCCAAAAGGCTGCAAATGCTTTACGAGATTATGGTATTTTACTCGTGAAAGATCCACGGGTAACTGAGAAAGATAATTCTCGGTTTATAGATTTAATGGAAGATTATTTTGCTCAACCATTAGAGATAAAACTTAAGGATGCACGTCCAGACATTGGTTATCAAGTGGGCGTGACTCCTGAATTCATGGAAACACCAAAATGTCATCAAGATCCCAACTGTCAAGATATAATTTCTCGTATGCCTGAGGAAAGTCGTCCATTAATATCTTCGGGGCCTGATGTAAAATGGCGTTTCTTTTGGCGTTCAGGGGAATTACCAAAAGAAACCAAATTTCCTCAATTAAATGCAGCACCTGTTATTCCTGATGCATTTAAAAATATCTGGTCGAACATCATGAGCCAATGGGGTAATCAATTACATCAAGCTATTTTAACTGTCGCTGAAATGACTTCAGTAGGATTAGGACTTCCTGCAAACACATTACCAGATCTCGCGAAAAATGGTCCACATCTTTTGGCACCTACAGGAAGTGATTTAAATAAATATGGAAAACTTAATACAGTTTTAGCAGGATTTCATTATGATCTAAATTTCTTGACAATTCATGGTAAAAGTCGATTTCCCGGTTTAAATATTTGGCCTCGTAATGGATCAATTAAAGTTCCGGTTAAAATTCCTGATGGATATTTATTCGTTCAAGCTGGCAAACAACTTGAATGGTTAACGGGTGGTGAAATAATGGCAGGTTATCACGAAGTGATTGTGACAGAAGATACTATTAAAGCTATTGAGAATGCAAAGAAAACTCGACCAGATAGACCTTTATGGAGAATATCTTCTACTTTCTTTCTTCACATTGCGAGTGATAATTTATTAGAGACATTAGTATCATGTAAACCTAATCTGAAACTTTATCCAAAAATTTTTGCTGGTGACCAAGTAAAACATGAATTGGGACTTATTGAACTGTTGAAAGAGGATTAATTTCTTGTCATTATTAAAAATTTATGTGTATATTCGCGTTTTATTAACGAATATTTAATAAATTTTAAACTTGCGATATTCACGTGTCATTAAATCCACCGTCACACGAATTCATAATTCTAAATTTTCAATTTTCGAATTTTTTAAAATCATTTTTTTTAAAAATTTTATAAACAAATGCCGCGAGATCGCGAAAAGTATGATAGACGAGAAAGGAGATCTAGATCTCCTTATAATAGAGATAATAGGGACAATAGAGACAAAGACCGATATCGAGAACGGGATAGAAGAGAGCGTATCAGGAGATCACCAGAGAGAAATAATCGTTACCGCTCTCGTTCTCGTTCTCCTCCTAACCGAAGAGGTAAAATAATTTTTTGTTAAAAATGAACAAATCTATCCACAGTATAGGGTTGAATTCTGGTTAGTCACTACTCTGGAATTCAACTCTTATTGTGTTTAGCTATAACTTTTTTTTCTACCATCAAATTTATTATCACTCCGTTACGAAAAGCAAGGTACGCTATTCAAAATTGATTATGATATTCAACTATAATTTAATATTTGTTATTTCACGTCCACCTTTGTTCCCATACAATAATAGAACGAGCCTTAAGTCCTCGTAGTACTGATCGTGATCGTAGAGGTAAAATATCTTTACTATTATACATAAATTTATATCTTTATCAAATTAAAAATAAAATAATAAAATATATTTTACAATATTTCACTCTCAAATAGACGAAAGGCATGATCGTGATCGTAGAAATAAATCACGAACTCGTTCTCCAAAGTATTACATTATTTATCATTTTTAAAGCAGTTAAATTTTGATTCTTATAATCTTTTTTCGCATTTATACAGAAAAGAAGAAACTGGTAAATCTTCAGGAGGTTGGTCGTTTTTCTATTATATATATATATATTTATTCATCACTTTCCATTAACCAATTATATCATTTTTATTATTAAGAAGCTCCGAATAATCCTTTAAATAACATTAATCCGGATGAAGATCCTGAACAAGCATTGAAGATGTTTATGGGATTAACATCATTTGGCACCACAAAAGTAATTGTAAAATATAAAAATTATATTTTTTGCTTAATAGAAGAATTACATTATTAAAATATTTATTAAAAATATTTATAGGGTAAGAAAGTCACAGGTAATGACTTTGCGGCGGTTAGCATTAAAAAACAACGCCAATATCGACAATACATGAATAGGCGTGGTGGGTTCAACAGGTTAGAATTTTTTTTATATTTTATTTTATTTCTTTTTTCTTATACGAAAATAATTTTTAATTAATTAAATTTGTATTATATTCTTAGACCACTGGACAAAATTCAATGAAATGCAAAGAACGTAATAATAACTATCTGCACATTTGTATCTTTCGCTATAATTTATTAATTTTTACTTTATTCAAAACTTTATTTGTATCAGAAAAAAGAATGAAAGATAAAAAATATATATATTAGATATTTTTTTAATCTCTGAGAAGGTGATCTTGACAATTGGGTCCTTTATTTATAATTAAAATAGTTACATTTGATAGATATGTTTTTATTAGATCTCATAGTGTATTGTTATCCTTGATGACATGCACAATTAAATATTTATAATATTTATAGTAAACTATTTGATACAAATAAAAATAAAAACCAATTAATATAACTATTGGGAACTTTGTAGATAAATTATTATGAAAGTAGGCTAAGCAGTAAAATTGAGGAATAGTAATTGGTTTTTACAATTGATATAAAAACCTATAGTCAGAAGATTAATAATGACTTCTATTTTTTTCCTGCACGTGTTTAATTTCATGGACCTTGTTGTGAATTGACATTTATCAGATATAGACTAATCATAATTAGCTACAAACTTGTTGAAAGTACAGAAATTCCTTTTCTCTATTAACCACGCTTTTCAATTTGAATTAAACTATTTAAGTAAAGGGATTATATTATTTTTTCTTGAAGCAAAACATATCACAGAAGTCAGTTTTTTTATTAACATTGTAAATGAAACTTAAAAGAAATATGAACAAATTTTTGTTCTTAACTATAGTTATAAATATTTCGGGTTCAAGATGTCACTACTTAAAAGAAATATGAATAAATTTTTGTTCTTAACTATAGTTATGAATATTTCAGGTTCAAGATGTCACTATGCAATGATTTTATTGTGTCCTCAACAGTATAATCTATTTTTGATGATGAATCAACTTTCGGATACCTTTTTAATATTATTTATTGCTTTTTGCATCCCACTTAACAATTATATTTTCAAATGTTGTTAAAAAGTGAAGAGATATATTTCTCTCCCTGATTTTATTGGCCGGTGATCAACAATCTCGTGATTGACATGATCAATCAAAATTTCAATTTTATTGGCTGGTGATCAAAATCTTGTGAATGGCATGATCGATCAAAAATTTAGATCCAAATAGGTATACAGATAAACTATATGGTACGAAACGCTATTTTGTACTGTACAAATAGTGACTTGTACGATTTATTTGTGGCTTGTACGGTTGATTAACTAATATCACGTGATATTTCAACCGTGAGAATTTTATCTGGATGATATATAAATGTGATGAATAATATTTTAGATCCAAAAAAATTCTCCTTAAAAAAATATAATAAAAATTGAATGTTGGGATGTGTTGAGGTTATACTTGCACGCAAAATTATTTTGGGATCCCGAAATTGCAATTTCGGGAAAAAAAGTTGAAATAGTTTTTCGTAGAAGATGAATAGATTTTGCATAAATCTCAAAAAGTCAAAATACCTCAAAAATCCAAAATCAATTTTGGGAACATGTATAGTTGAGGTGGTGACAATAAAAAGTAACATCCCTAATTGATTTGCATATGACACAAATCCTAACCCCTAATTTTGACATAAATAGATAATAATATATATTACAGAGGTTGGATGAAAATACTTGTACTGTATAACTTTTTAATATAAAAATACTTGTACTGTATGGTTTTTTAACATAAAAAAGTTCATACAATACAATTAGATTTTTATAATATATATATTATTGTATAAATTTTGTGTAAAAATTTATATAAAATTGTATAGTACAAAATAGTATTTTGTACCATACAGTTTATCATTATATTTATAAAAAATTTAACGCTATTACTAGTTAACCTTTTGAACTAATTTTATTTTCCAAAAGGCAATTTACAACTAGCAACTTGTAAACTTTACTTTGATTTATGAATTGAAGAGGATAATAGAAGAAGAATAAAAGAAATATTAAGTTAAATATTAAAGACTAATTAAAAGACTTAAGAATTTAGGATCATGGGATTTAACTATTGATTAATGATTAAATTTTAAAGATCAATTTAAAAAATTAAAACAAGGAATTAAATATATTTATCAATGGTTTATAAAATAGTAACAGAAATTTATGGATCAGAATTTATATTCGAAGAATATAAATTAATAAAAAGAACAGAGTTTTAATATAAAATATAGATTTATTACGAAGAAAATCAATAATCTAATTACTTTAGGATTATAAAAATAATTACAGTCAAGATTACTTTCTAAATTTCACTATTTAGAATTATTAAAATCTTATTTGAAAACTATCTAAATCTCCCTTAGGGTGAAGAGAAAACTCACTCTTTTTATAATATTTGATTTGATCAGTAAGTTGATCAGTAAGTTGGTTAAAATCTTGATTAATAATTGTACCAATTAGTTGGTTACTAAGTTGGTTAATCAGTTGGTCACTAAATTGGTAAGTAAATTGGCCAGTAACTGGGCCACTATAATCTACATTATTGATTTATATAATTCGTATTACACTACTAAATAAATAAATACTAATAACTAAATATACTAAAATAACTATACTAATAAAATAAATACAAATAAAAAATAAAAATAAAATAATAAGAAATTATAAAAGTGGAAACTCATGGTAACAGCGTAATGACTAAATTCTGATACAAAGACTAAATTCTAGTACAAAAGTTAAATAATAGTACAATTCTAATTGGCTGGTACAATTATAAAATTTATTAAATAATTATTATTAAATATAAATTTTAAAATTATTTAAAAGCTCTTATTATAAGCTATAATAGTTAAATTATTTTTATTTTTAATGTAAATCAATTTATGCAATTTGAATTGATTTTCTATTATAATATTTTTATAATCAATTGAAAGCTAGTTCTTAGTTATACATTGATGTATATTTCATTTTTGTAGTACTAATATTTATAAAGTTATTAATGTTTGAAGATAATTTATTAAAAATATTAATATTGATAATTTAATAATTATTCAATTATAATGATAATTATTTCACATAATCATAGTAGTACTAGCCAATTATAATTGTGTCAAAATTTAGTTAAAATTTAATTATTTAACCAGAATTTATTTAGAAAAAAACAATTAGTCAAATATGCAATTATTAAACCAGATCTAATATTAATTAAGCCAACTACCTCTTTAGTAATTACCATTATACGAATTATAAACTTATAATATATATTTGACAAAACTATATTAATTATTAACAAAATCTCAAGAAGTTTTGTCAACTGGAAAATCTTTCATTTTTAAAAATTATTTGATAAAATAGTTTTAACTATTTTGTTTTTTTTAATTGACAAAATCTACAGATTTTGATTAGTAACTTTATACCTGTGACAGTGACATATAGAATGAATATTGTTCAAATTTTTAAAACATTTATATTAACATAGTATAGTATAACAGAAATAATGCTCTTAACAAGTTGAATTAACTTGAATTGATTTGAATCATAAGATATAATTTTAATTTTGAATTGAATCAAAAAGTATGATTCTAACTTCAAATTAAGTAACTATGATTTTCAAATCAGTAACTATAACTCCTAAATTAATCAAGAAAAGTTTTTTCATACAAAATATATAAAATATTTCAAAAAAAGTTTTTATTAAAATATAAAGATAATTAAAACAGTATATTTTAAAATATTTAAAAACCAAGATATAAATAATTATTAAAATACTAATAAAATATATGTAAAATTATCTGAAAAATAATTTTTAATAATATATAAAATATTCTTAAAACAGTAGTTTTTGAGAACATATAACATTTATAAAATATTTTACTAAAATATCTCGAAAACTAATGCAAAAACAATTACTGCAATATTAATAAAATATGTGTAAAATAATATAGGAAATAACTTTTATTAGTATACAAAATATCTTTAAAACAACGGTTTTTTGAAATCGCGAGACATTTATAAATCTTGATCAACTCTGGTCAACTTTCAAATTTAAAAATTATTAATCCTAACCTTACCCCGAATCGAGTTACACAGACTGTTAGGAGAAGTTCCCTTTGATCAGTAACAATTCATATGATCAATATAAATTGTGATTGACTAAAATCATTAAAGTAGTCATATGATACTAAAGTTCATTTTTGAGTTTTAGATTATCAAATAACCATTGGTATATCAAAAATGTGTTTTCATTATTGTAGACTCTTTACAAGTTGAAAAGAAAATAATAAATAACAGTACAAAATATATTAATATATTAATATATTCATATTTTCATTTCAAATATTTTAAAGCTAATCTTTTTTGTTGTTTTTAAAGTGAAAAAAAATGCACATATAATGTCAAGTTTTTAACAAAATTCTTAAAGATAATAAAAAATAAAAACGGATTAAAATATATACACATTAACTACTTTTGTTTAATCTTTTTTTATAATAAGTTTTGAAATGTTTGGATCAGCGAAGCTTCAAAGTTTCATTTCAAACAAATGGATACTTCACTGTATATCCATGATATACCTTTTTGTATATGTATTTCATATGAAAAATTTTGTGTAATAAGATCATCAATAAGAAACTTCTGTCATGCTACATGACATAACAATTCTATTTGTTACTTAATATTATTCAGAATACTTTTTTTCACAAGACATAAAAAGTTGATGGCATTTATAAGTAAAATTCATATCAATAATATACATAATCCAATGTACAAATAAAAAATAAACATCCACAATGTTGAAACACTTTATTTTGTCCTTTCCTTTTGTTGATTAAGTTTTTTCTTGAGTTTTGATCTTTCTTTGATTCAGAGTAACCAGTTCTTGAACATAATAATGTTCTTTTTTAGATCTTTTTTTTCTTTTTTAAGTATTTAACTTTTCCAAGCCTAATAATAAATCTTGGTTCGTGTGCATAACTCTTAATTTTATTACAAATTCATTAAGGCTTTTGAATAAATCATCTATTTGAAGTTTTTTAAGACAAACAAATTATAGTTAATACAATTATCAAATAAAATTTTGGGTTACATGTGTTACAATATAAAATTTGATTGGGTTTATTCCCTCATACATTATTCAAAAACAAATAAATCATCAAAAATACCAATATCAGATATGAGAGATATATCAACATCTATATTTACCATTTATTTAACGCATTTTTATCGTAAATCTTTCCTCATGGCGTAAGCATCTTCACCATCGGCATAATATTTCTTTTCTATTTCGTGAATTCTGTAAGTTATATTCAAAATACATGAGATAATAATATATATAAATTATAATCGAATTAATTGTAGTTTTTCATAATTACCTAAATTTAAGTGTTTCTTTATATAACTGTAATGCTGCCCGATTACTTTTACGAACGTGTAATGAAACGTATTGTGCATTAAATACTTCTACCATACTTTTCTCTAGCAATAAATAAAATAAATAATATGAGATTTAAATTAAGGAATTTATCTTCCTTCCTTCCTCATTTCTTTCTTTAATTATCATTAATAGTAATATAATAAAGGTAATGAATAATAATGAATTAATTAATTAATTACTTACGAGCTTGTGTCATTAACTTTTCCGCTATACCTAATCTTCGATATGTTCTCATAACTGAAAGAGATGTTATATGACCATGTGGTGGTTCATCTTCTCGATCTTCTTCCCTATATGAATTTTGTATGAATTGTATGAAATTTAATATTTATCTTTAAAATGATTTTATATATGTTAATGATATTTATATTAAAATAGAAAAACTTACATTTTTGCCAATACATAACCAACAATCCTTCCTTTATGATCTTCTGCCACGAATGATAATTGTGGCCAAGATAATGCATGATAAAAATCTTTAAATAAATAAAAATTAAATTAAATTAAATTAAAATTAATTTGATAATATGTTTCCTTTTTTATTTTAAAAATTCAAAATATAAATTAATACATTTTTGGTCTATTGGAATAATAATAATAATAATACTATATATTATTGAAGAAGAAAAAGAATAATAAAAGACCTAAAGAAATGGAATTTGTGTTTCTACTAACAATATTTCATTTGATAATTTTCGGGAAGGTTCATTATATTACAATTTTGCATTGCCAATAAATCGTCTGTCTACAAAAATGAAAATAGAAATATTAAATAAAGGTAACAGGAATAATAAAAATGATAAAGTTTAGATTGTAGCATACCGTTGCTTGTCTAATATTCATTTTCGAAAAAAGCGAGGTGAGAAAGAGATCAACAAATATCTATCATCAAATATCATCGTACGTTAATCACGTGTTGACCTAATCGCAATAAGGAAAATTTCAATAATATAATATAAATAAACCAATTATTCAACTATAGTTAAAAATGTGTTTTTCAAAATTTATTTACCAAACTTTTACAACTTTTACAACTACCACAACGACATCTTAAGAATTTGCTCATAATTATAACCGTAATATGATTATTTGGTCGGTAAGATTATTTGGGGAGACCATTTAGAGAATTGCATAGTCACCTCTAAATTCTGTGCTAAATTTAATCTTTACAGAAACTCTAAAGCTATGTAATTCGAATTTCGATCAGTAGATCATATCAAAAGAACTTCATTAAGAAATTGCGCCACTAATAAATTTTCTCTTGTCAAATTACCTACAAGCAAATGTTCATTAAACTTGATGTTTCTTGAAGAGAAGTATTTTTCTGTTGTTTCATAAAAGTTTTTCCATAAGTAGGAAGGAAAATTCTTGTTCGATTTAATAATTGTTTTTCAGATTTTGCTAATAAATTAAAAAAGTAAAAAAGCCTGTAGATCCCTTTTTCAACGACTACGTCAATTAAATTAATTACCATAGTTGGATTTTCACGTGATATCATGTGTAAATAATCTGAGATTATTTCATTATGTTATTATATTTTTCTCATGGCGGCGACGAATAATTCCTCTGATTCATTAACGTCAACTAATACTCCCCACGATTTTCTAATTACTTCTAAACTAACAATTCCTTCTCTACCTCTAGCTGAAAATTCTGATTTACATTCCTTTTATCAGAAAACGTTTAAAGAACTCGCTAGTTTTCTTATATTAAATACCAGACTTCATGTTCCTCAAAACCGAATTTTCACTTTCGTTGAATTAGAATTTTATTTGAAAGATGAGAAAAATGATCATTGTGATTCATATACTCATGGTCACGAACAACAATTGACCCTTGGTGAATGGTATTTTCATCACGTTGGTAAGGTTGGATATCGGGGTGGTTCCAGAAAAGGTGTCGATCTTACTTTTGGATCTCGTGAGAGAAATATATATGGTGGTATTTTGGTAAGATCTATCAAAGATTATTGGAGTAATCAGATAGTTGAAGGTCCATGTTTAGTCGTAGAAACAATTTTGGATAGTTGCGGATATAGACAAAATGGTGGAATTAAAGAAATGGTTGAAGTTTGCTGGGAAAATAAACTTGGATTTATAAAAGATTTACCTAATTTCAATGGAAAAGTATTTCTAACTATGGATGATGAAAATACAAAAGTCGAGCCACCAGAGCCAGCCAATACTAGGAGATGGTATAAAAGAAGAAAGGTTGATGATGTTGAGGTCCCCTTATCATATTATAAACGAAAAAAATTGAAATTACAAGAAGAAGAAAAAAAGGTACAAAAAGAATTAACTTGGAATCGATCTTCTTTCAATTTAAAATCAACATATGTTGTATATGAATCACCAAGAGTTGGTTTAACACTTTCCAACGCATTTCCAACTCATGAAGCTCGATTAAACTATATATTAAAATCTTACAGATTTTTTATTCTTCCTCATCTTTTAAGAAAAGGTAAAGCACAAGCGATTTTAGGATTACATGATCAATTTAATGATATTGGTAAAGTAGCAGAAATTTTAAAGGTTAATCAACAGATAGTAATTAATCATATTCAGGAATTAAGTTGGGGTTTGAATTTTGCAGGTGATATTAAATCTTTCTTTGGAAAAAAAGAGAAATCACAAAATGGGTTGGAATATTGTCGAATGGCTGGGGCGATTAGAAAGTGGGCAATGGAAAATAAATGAATTTATTGATTATTAAATTTTGTGAATGCGCAGTTATTATTGTTTATTTTGTAAATATGCATTCATATATAACTTTAATAAAGGTAATAAAAAGTTAACGCTCAAAGTAATTTTAATGATTTTATTTAATATAAAATGTATAAAGAATCTCTTATAAATCTGAACTTCTTTAAAAATATTTCAATATAAAAAACAATTATTTGTTGTACATTCGATAGATTTAAACAATAGCAATACTGTTTTCCTCCTAAAAAAATCTATAATTTTGTCATCATACACATGACCTCCAGTATGACACCTATAAATAGAATTTGCAGTTCAATAATATTTCACAGTTCAAATTCTTGCTTATTGCAAGTCCCATAAAACCATATCTGCCTCTAAAATACGACAGAAAGAAAAGTACAACCGTTCAAACTTCTGGAGGATTTGATTTTATTTACTTTGTGATTCCAAATGACTCTTCTATAAAGAAAGCAAAAAAATATGCTATAAATTATGTTCAGAGGAAAAATCGTTTACCTGATGAACCATAATCCAACACTACCAACATTAATTTAATTTTTTATGTAAATTTTCCTAGTTAGGATTCAATTATAAATTATAATTAACTGATGATTTCAAAAAATAAATAAAGTTCATAAACTAAAACAATCTAAATTATTACTACTTTGATTTCTGATAGCAACCTTTTGAAATTTTATTACTGTTTCTACTTTTGCAGGAGGTATCATTAATTTAGACTATTTTTGAAGATGTAAATCAAAGTTGCAATAAGTGAATTACAATAGGTATCTCTAATCTCAAAAATACTTGTTTCCAACCTGGATCTAAAAAACCCATCAGAACTCATCAACCCACCAACCTTCTTAATGAAAACTCAACTTATTTTTTACTTCAGATATTAATAATGTTGTTTTATTTTATTTTTTGTTTAATAAAGAACTTTAACTAGTAGTCATAAGTTCGTTATCTATATATTTTTATTATCTTTACTAAGAATTAGTTTTTGTGTAATGGATTAAGTTTAAGTTTCGCAATCAGCAGATATGTTAAAAGTATTTTTTAAAATTAGAACTTTATTAGATCTATTGTTTTCAGATTCATCTTCAAACTTGTCACCTCTTGAAAATACAAAACATATGCTAATAATAAAAAAGAATATAAATTATACTACTTTAATATCTTATCAACATTTCTTAAATAAATAATAAAATTTGTTTCTTTGTTAATTTGTATACTGTATATAATTAAAAGAATTTTTCTCATTAGAATTTTAAAATTTAAAATTACACTAGTCAAATACAAAAGAATCACTGTATCAAATGGTAATTTTTATTTATAAATTAGCTAAAATCAAAATCTTTATATTATAGGCAAGCTAAAATCAACTGTCATTTTTGCTCCTATATTATATATCAGCTAAAATTAAAAATTCTATTTGCACCATCTATTCCTTTGTGTTTGACCTGTGTTAATCAAATCAATATATTAATTTATTATTCTAATTAAATAAAATTTTATTTATTGATAAGTATTTCTATAATATAGTGGTTTTATTTTATTCAGATATATAATATTTAAAATAAATTTATTAACCAATTATAAAAAAGTTAATTATTTGAGATACCTTATGACTATAGTATACATGTTATCAAAATTATTGTATTAAGTTAGATGTAATTAAAAATTGAAAAAATTAAGTAAAATTTTCAATTTTACTAATAATTAAAATAATTATTTGAGTTAGATATAATTAAAATTTGAAAAAATTGAAATTGAATCAATGGATTTGAATTTAAATAACTTACACAATATAAACTATAGTATAATAAATTTTATGTGACTTGAAATCATGTTGATTATTTAAATTATATAACATATACCATAATATAATTTTGATATTACCTTTTAACCTAATATTTAAAAATTATTCTGTTAATTTAAACTAAGATTTGACAGGAACAAGGGAGAAACTCTTTCCAACAATTATTTTGCCAAAATTTTCAAGGAAAAAAAAAAATCTAAAAAACACTACAAACAAATAATACAAACAACAGCAAAACATGAACAAGAAAAAGCAGGATGAACATACATGTTCCAGACAAACCACAACAAATTATAGAACTAAAAAGAAACATGAAACAATAAGCATCAGCAAGAAAGATGAAGAAGCAGTTCGCAACACTTTAAGTATAGGAGAAATTATCCAAACAGGTTATAACCTTTTAAGCTCTGGAGTAGAAACTTTAAATAGTAATTGAACAGAGTCAAGAAATAGATGCAAATATGGAAACAAAAACTTTATTGAATAAAGAAATATAAGAAAAAAATATATCAAAAAATGATAAAGGCAAAATAAAAGAAATATACAACAATAAATGCAGAAATTAATGAAGAAGAGGCTAGTGACAGTGAGACAGTGGTAACAGTAAACAGCTTCCAGAGTGAACGTGAAGAGTGGAGAAAAATGGCAAAATTGAAAAAAGATAAAACCTGAATAAAAGTATCAGTAGTTAAGGGAAAAAATTTAGAGGAGAAAATTCAAAATATTACTTCAGCATTAGACAAAAATATTATTATAATCAGAACTAAAAAAAATAGAGATGACCACAAACTATATATTATAATTTATTTTGAAAAAAAGAAGATATGGAAAAGGTATGTAAAATGGAAATTGATGAGAAAATGGAAATGATAAATCTAAACTTGTTAGAATTACAATAACTTAAAATAGAAATAACAATAAGGAAAAAGGAGTTAAATTTTGAAATATTCCTGTAAGCATATGTGAACAAGAATTCAAATACATGCTTAATCACAAATTTGAAAAAGTAATTTTATATACAATGTCCACAAGAGATATGTGATTATCAACAATTGCATATTTTGATAATCCTAATATTTAAGGATAAATTTTATCTGAATGGTTACAAACAGTAGGAAAAGAATTATACAGGGTGTCAATCTCAAGTATGACATTTATAAAATTAAAAAATAAAAGTATGCATGTAGTTAAATTAATTAATTTATCATCTGATATATTACCACATGAGTTACATGTGATCATAGCACAAATAGGAGCAAAAACATATTATTTCTTTCAAAATCTATATAGGAAAAAGAAAAAAATGGCAATTGTAACATTAGAAAGTGAAGAAGAAAAAAGGAAACTTATAGGACAAATATGGAAAGCAAAAGAATATATGATTAAAATAATGAATATAAAAATAAAAACATGTTATAGATGTCATGCAGAAAAGTATTTGGTATTGAATTGTCCAATTGCAAAAAAATAAAAAGAAATAAATGAAAGAAAGACAAAAGATTTTGAGAAATATGAATACATGTATAAGACCACTAGATCACGTTGTTAACCCTGTTTCTTTATTTTTTATATTTATATATATTTTTATTATAACATATTTTATTATTATTATTTTATTATTATATTAGTATTTCATATATGTATTATCTTATTTTTAGTATAGTATATTTATATTCTTGTATCACCTTATTAGTATTTACGTAATAGAGATAAAATACCTCAGATATGTAACATTACGTGATGCAAGGTAAAACACCTCTGGTAATTACCAGTAAAATACCTAGGTAAATTACTTCCAGCATTAATAATCATGCTGAAATGTTATGGAAACTTCTGGAGTTTTCTTGAAGTTAATAATTATAGTTTGTAATATGGTCTAAATTTTGTATAAATAGAAGCTGTTTCTGCTCTTCTTGAAGGAACAGTTGACATAGAATTGAATATTCTAATAACTCAAAATAAAAATATTATTTATAAACTAATATCTTTCTTGATGAATTATATAGTTTATATTGTGACTTTCTTAGTGAAAACCCTCTTGTCATTTGCCTTGCTTTGTGATCTTGGCAATTCTTATTATTATTACTCTCTTCTTGGTGATAAGAATAATTGTTGGTTAATAATATCCTACTTTGTGATCTCAGTATTATAGTTACTTAATAATTAATCCTGCTTTGTGATCTAGGTTAAATAATTAAGTTTTTCGTGAATTTGTTTAGTTTCTTGATGAAACTTTGTTATCTTTGTGACTTAGTTAGTAAACTCTTATAAAACCTCACACCCTTAGTCTCTTTTGACCAAATCCACCTTATCCAAATCCTTCTTATCATTACTTTATTCATAGTAATATCTATCCAGCTGTAGTTAATTATTATAGTATTTAAAGTCTATAAATACAATTTTCACTACCAGTTGCTTAGTTTTCTTTGATTTCTTTAGAAGGTAAACCAAGGTTAACACCGTGTGGAAATTAGAGGAACTTTTAGAATTACGCAAAATTAAAAACCAATACAATTTACTTTTTCAAATTCGAGATAACTGCTATCAAATTTTAAGTGACCTAAATCAATTAAAAAAAAATTTTTTCCTTTTAAATTAATATTTTATAAGCACCTTAAATAAATAAATAATTTGTAGTTTTGAGCAAAAAGATACCACCCACTGAATCCCTTATTATTCACGTTATAAAACAATTAGAGTAGTTAGCTTCTAGTATATTAGAAGATTTCTCGCAAACTATCTTTACACTACAACCACTTTCTATCATGACATCACCACAAGACTCTACTATGCAGTTTCCAAAGGTTGACGAGCCTGATAATATTTCATCCCAGCTACTGCAAAAACCAAATTAACAACTAAATTCTCTACAATTTCAAAACACACCCAACTGTAAACAAAACCCAAACCTTTTTCTACTGTTGTAGAATTGTTAGAAGAAATAGATATTCAAGATGCTGTTATAGAAACTGAATCAAGTACTCCAAAAGAAAAATCAGGAGTATCATTAATCGAAACAAATTTATTAGCTCCTCTTAAATCACACTATCCTTCTAGTTAGCTTAACACAGTAATATCTAAAGGATCTAGTTCTAGTACTTGGTTTGAAAAGACATCTCACTTGTAACAAAGGATAAGACAAGGAGAATACTTTGATCAATTCAAATTAACT